TTAGTATTTGTAAGAACGAGAGTGTTGTTTAGAGAGCAGCACTTTTTTCGGTATTGGTGAATAAAAAGCAGTCTGCATACGAGCCAAGTGGCCCATCAGGCCAGAGCTTATCCCCGTTTCTGTAGCATGGAGCGACTAGGAGTATTTCTACTCCTCCCTGAATGGGATGCTAGCCCATCGCAGCGTTACCCCCAGCATTAAATTTGCCAGTACCCATTTATACATCTGGGTGGAGAGAGGTACTGTGAGAGTAGAGTGTCTTGCCCAGGAACACAATACAATGCCCCCGGCCAGGGCTCGAACCTACTCACCATGAGGCCACCGCACCTCCACATTGGTGAATTAAACTTTATTATCCTACTTTCATGTCGTACTATACAGACAGTACACCTAAAAGTTTTGTTTACGTTTTTACTTGTTGAGTCGTAAAACATGGAACCCGGGATTATGTCTGTTGTTTTCTAAAACCCCTAATTCCGGGATTTGAGAGTCAATGTTCTATTCTTACAATTCAATACAACTTTTTTCTATATACACTACCATTGCAACTAACCTGGACTTGATATTTGACCCCAGCCTTNCTGAATGGGATGCTAGCCCATCGCAGCGTTACCCCCAGCATTAAATTTGCCAGTACCCATTTATACATCTGGGTGGAGAGAGGCACTGTGAGAGTAGAGTGTCTTGCCCAGGAACACAATGCAATGCCCCCGGCCAGGGCTCGAACCTGGACTGCTCGATCCGGAGTCGAGCCTACTCACCATGAGGCCACCGCACCTCCACATTGGTAAATTAAACTTTATTATCCTACTTTCATGTCGTACTATACAGACAGTACACCTAAAAATTTTGTTTACGTTTTTACTTGTTGAGTCGTAAAACATGGGACTCGGGATTATGTCTATTGTTTTCTAAAACCCCTAATTCCGGGATTTGAGAGTCAATGTTCTATTCTTACAGTTCAATACAACTTTTTTCTATATACACTACCATTGCAACTAACCTGGACTTGATATTTGACCCCAGCCTTTGTCAAAGCAGCAACTAACTGCGCAGTATTCTGGAAATGTACATTATCTGCAAAGAAACAGAGCACAGAGAGTGAAATAAGGGCTGAGTGCT